AAAAAAAAAAAGAGATTTCAGAATATGGAAGAGATGGAAAAGGAAAAAAAAAAGAGAGAGAGAAACAAAAGTAAATGCGTCCATAATTTAGGGGGAGAAAAACACATATGTAAAGATCAGGCATTCATTCATTCGACAAGTATTTATTGAGTTCCTTTTCTTTCAGCACAGGCACTAGGAACACAGCAGTAAACAAGACAGAAAAGATCCCTGGTCTCACAGAATTCCCATTCCAGTAGAAGCAAAATAGACAACAAATAAGATAAACTGAGACAGTTATAAGTTCCCTGAAGACAAATTGCCTAGGGAACAACTCTCAACTGGGAGATTAAAGTAGGCCTCTTTGAGGAAGTAGTCGTGGGGCTAAGATCTGGAAAAAAAAGGAGAAACCAACCAAGTAAAAATCTTGGGAAAAGTGTTTGAGATATAGGGAATGGCAAGTGCAAAGTCCTCAAGATCTGAACGCACTTGGCGTGTTCAGCAAACAGAAATGCCGCCGTGCCTAGACAGAGCATAAACATTCCTTTTCTGAAATGTTTTTGTAAAGTTTATTAAAGTGAGTCTTTTGTGTTTGTGAATTTTTTTAATATATAAGGAGAATCCAAATACCCATCAAGAGTAAATAGAATAATTAGGGTACAGTCATATAATAGACAACAATATAGAAATTTACAAAAGCCCATTACTGATACATGAAGCAATGTGGATAAGTTACACAGAAAATATTGAATGAAAAATGCCCAAAACAAAAGACTACAGCCTGATGATTCCATTTATATGAAGTTTTTAAAAGACAAAAGTAATCTATGTTGACAGTGTAGAGGTGTGGAGATGACTGGGAAGGAGCACAAGGAAGCCTTCTGAGGTGCTGGAAATACACTCAATCTCTAAGTGGAGGTTATACAAATGAGTACACATGTTAAAAAAATCACTAAGTTGTAGACTTCACATAATGTAAAACATACCTTTATCTTAAAAAAAAAAAAAAAAGGTAGGGCCAGGCACGATGGCTGAAGCCTGTAATCCCAACACTTTGGGAGGCCAAGGCAGGTGAATCACAAGGTCAGGAGATAGAGACCAGCCTGGCCAACATGGTGAAACCCCATCTCTACAAAAAAACAAAACTTAGCCAGGTGTGGTGACACATGCCTGTAATCCGAGCTACTCAGGAGGCTGAAGCAGGAGAATCGTCTGAACCAGGGAGTTGGAG